CTTTTTTTTTTTTTTTTCAGATGAATGGATAAAAAAATTACGACAAGGTTATTATTCATCTGTTTCATATGTTGATCATTTAATTGGTGAAATATTGAAAAGTTTAAAATTGCATAATTTAAACAAAAAAACAATTGTTATTTTATTAGGAGATCACGGTTAGAATTTTGTAGCTCATTTTTTTCTTATTTATGTAACCCGGAAAACGTGTTAAATTTTTTTATGACTGATTACAGGTTGGTCTTTAGGAGAACATGGAGAATGGTCGAAATATAGCAATTTTGATGTCGCCGTTAGAGTTCCGTTAATCATTCGAATACCCGATACGACATATTTTACAATAAATAGAAACGCTACCGAAACAGGAAGTGCCACCGTCGAAGAACCCGTAGAATTAATAGATATTTTTCCAACGGTTGTGGATTTGGTGGGATTGAAATCGATACCCAAATGTCGGGATAAATCGTTCTCCGTTAAACTTTGCACGGAAGGAAATAGTTTAAAATCTCTCATTAAAACGTCAATCGTTGAAAAATCAAATAAAAAAATTATGACGATGACGTCAGAATGGGATAAATTTGCATTGAGTCAATATCCCAGACCGGATGTTTTCCCGACAAAATCACCCGATTCGGATGAGCCAAAATTAAACGAAATTAAATTCATGGGTTATTCGGTAATTAATTATTTATTTTCAATTAAAAATGTCTCCTTTCTTACCAATCATCAATCGTACTTTAATTTTTTTTTTTTTTTTTTTTTTTTCAATCGCAGATTCGAACCAAAAGATATCGATATACCGAATGGATTCCCTGGGATTCGAAAACCTTGACCGGAAATTGGTCGAACGTTAATCAAACGGAATTTTACGATCATCATATCGATCCGAATGAAAATTTAAATTTACACGGAAGACCCGGATTAGAAACCTTAGAAAAAAAATTAAAATATTTACTTAAAAAAGGTTTTTCCTGAAGGGCTTTACAATATCATAATGATAATGATAAGAATAACGTGATAAGAATTTCGTTTAAAATTTAAAAATATTTTTTTTTTTTTTTTTTTTTTAAATATTGTCCAAACTGTTTGTTATTATTATTATTATTATTATTATTATTTGAAAAATTTTTTGTAGATAATTATCATTTTAATTTTTTATTTATTTTTTAATAATAAAATTTGAATTACTTTCGACGATACAAAAAAAATCAATTCATACGTAATTATTATTATTATTATTATTATTATAATTAATTAAAAAAAAAAAAATGGGGGGATGTTTATTGGCAGTCGCCGATGGTGTTTCTTATGGTATCGTTTCCGGATTTGTCATAGGAGCTGCCATAGGAGCCGTTTATGCCAAAGTATTAAAATTACCACATTTTAAAATGATCGTTTTGCAACACGGTTATGGTAATGCAGTTTTTGGGGGAACATTTTTTGGAATTTTAATGGCTTATAAACATTGCACATGATTGTTTACATATAATTTTTTTCTAGAATTATTTATTATTATTTAATATTATTTTGTAATTTGTTTTTTTTTTTTTTTTAATTTTATACCGAAATATATACATTAGTTATTAACAAAAAAAAAATAAGATTTTTTCTACAATGATCGATTTATGTATTAATGATATTTTTTTTTTTTTACATAAATTAAAATATATTTAATTTTAAAAAATTATTTGTGTTTATTGTTTTATAGGGTAATAAAACATTTTGCTTGTTAAAATAATTATTATTATTATCATTATCATCACGTGTTACGTAATAATTATTTTACCATCACGCCAAATATTAATAAACTTTAACGGTTTTTAATTAAATTTCTATTTAAAAAAAAAATTGCCACCGCTTTGTAAACGATAAGTACCGGATATTATTCCAATTTTCGATTCGATTTAAATTTTTTTATTAATAAATAATAATAATAATAATAATAATAATAATAATAATAATAATAATAGCAATAAATATTATTAAAGGTCGCGTGGGGAAAAAGAATTAACGTTTACCAATGAGCGAAGAAAATAAAAAAATCAATAACGAATCGAGTGAGAGTTCGTCAACGAAAAAAAATCAAAATGATGATAATGATAACAAAGAATCGAATAATGATAATGATAATAATATGGAATCCGGTAAAAATTATCAAATCGTACCGTATGGGCATAATTTAAAATTGGAAAACGAAACGATCGTTAGATCCGTATTTACGAAAGGAAAATCTAAAAAAAATCTATTCGATCCTAAAAAATCAATCGAAAAAAATATCGATGAAAATCGTTCGATCGATTTATCGAATTCGGGTAAAT